AACTCTTTGTTAGGTAATTTGGAATTAATCATTTTAAAAACCTAGTTCTTCCTCTGCCTCCTAAAAACAAGCACACCTAATATAAATACATGCAAATATTTACCTAAGCATTTTTACCTCTTTCTCACCCAACATGTCCCAGCATCTAAATTCTGGCAGACTCAAGGCAGCAGAGTGGAAACACATACCAGAAACAGAGTTCACCATAAGATACTGAGGCCAATGCCACTTTCATTTAAAAAACACCATGTCAGCAGCCACAGAAATGTAGCAATTAAAGCACTTGCCCACAGAACATGAGCATCAACACTTTCCTTGGACTGAAGGATTCAAGCTTACAGTGCTTGCGCCCCAGAAGAAACTATCCCCACCCCATCAGGACTGGATGGCGCAGCCTCCACCCTTCCAGTAAGTCTACCACGCACGGAAAGGAATGCGAGATCCGTAAAGCCACAGGGTCCGTCAGCACGCAGTAGTGCTGCTACAGCCCAGGGATAACGGCATCGGTGGAACCCACGGGTTCTGCTCTCGCCACAGGACTGGCTTACATATACCACATTAAAATGCCATTATACAAAACATGTAAGTTTTACAAACCGAAAATGCTCTGGATTTGAACCTGAATTTAAAAAGAAGGTACATGACCTTTCGAACAAAAGAAAACAAAAGATTCTATACGTATACAATCTATGAAAGTTGGTAACGAAGAATTGTTTCCACAACTTGACGTGTACTGCAATGTGGAATTTGTGTGCTGCTTCGCAAGTGAAATATAAACCACTCGGAAAAAGACGTGAAAAGTTTTCTGCTTAGAGCTGTACGGATTATCTGACTGATCTTCCCCGTCCACTTGTACCTTTACACATGCACTTTCCCTTCATTCAAACTAATACAGGGCATTGGAATAACAGTATATTTTATTCCATGCATATCACAATGTAACATTCAAATATATATAACAATATACATCTAGAACTAGACTAACCAGAAAAAATCTTCATTTGCTGCTTCTGGGGATATATGTTAACTTGTGTCTCTACTGGCTACCCTTCTTACTGTTTTAATTCCTATAGGTGTCTGCTTTTCATCTCTATTAATACAGCCTTCCTATTTCTTTTATAGGATCAATTAGTTATGTACTATCATGTGCCTAAAGCACATCTGAAATGTAAAATACAAGCTACAGGAATTCTTGTATTTTATTGATTCTTTTAACAAGTTTATTAATTTTACACTGATAAGGCTGGACAATGTTATTCTTCTACAGGGGCTACTGAAAAGACAGAACTTAATATGCACTGAATTATCATCCCACTTCCTGTCATTTGTGTTTAAAGAATTAAATGTGGACTAAGTCTGCTTATAGCAACTTTCTGTATCATTACTCTCATTTTACATTACACTTTTCATTTTTACACTTGATGTTTTGCATACTTCATCTGCATCTAGTTTGATTTTTTGAGTGATAGTTCATCTTACGCACTCTTCCCTGCCCCTGAAGAGAATTTACAAAACTAAGGAAATATTTCCTGAAATAATTTTAAAATCAACTTACCCCTTGGTCATAAATTTTACAACAAGCAAATACAGCACAGTTCTCCTAATTAAAAATTTACTACATTTTAATTTCAAGTCAAAGCTTACCCATAACTAAATATACACTAATTCACTGGCTAAATTAAAGCATAGAAGAAAGTTGTAGAAAACTACTTATCTACTCCATGCCAATGATACAGGATGGATTCATATAAAGATGACAGTAGTGTCTCAGATTTGTATTTTTATGCTCTCAGTTATGTACTACACAACAGATTTTTCCTTGCACATTCTAAGAAATACCCAGGATAATTTTCTACCTACACATATCTAATAAAATCTTTACTTCTCATGAAAAAGACAGGGGAAAAGCACTGCTTTTTCCTAAAAGTTACTAAAAGCATTCAATAAATTTCTCATTTGGCTGAACGAGCTTCACAGATTTTTCAGATTTCATAGGTGTACTATATTTACCTATTCTTAAATCTGAATTTAGGAAGTAATCCAATATTTTGTGGAAACGGTAGCCCATTCCAGCAGCAACTTGAAAAAAGTAATTAAGCTTTCTCTACTCCTGTTATTCAGCAGTTGACCTATACAGGTCCCTCTGGAAATATATCAGATTTCCATCTGTTCAAAGTACCTTCTGAACTATTTCACCTTATGCTTTTTAAAAAAAACAACAAAAACAAACAACTTCCATTCACCACAACTTCAATGATAAGAAGCTACTTTATAACTGAAAACATCTGGAAATTCTTTGTCAACTGAACAGATGAGAAGATGGGGCTAAGTGGTCTGAGAAGGTATGCATCTACTACAGAGATGAAAAACCCTAACAAAAAAGACTGTTTTCAAACATGAAAAAGAATAAGAACAGCTACATGCAGAGAAATCACAGAAATCAGTAACAGAGAGCTCTCAAGACAGAGGATTACTATACTATAGCAACTAAAAAGAAAACTGATTATGTCAAAAAGGTTTTTGCATACAATACAGTTACAAATTCCTTGTTGAACTAAAATTACATCAACATACGCATACAGCAATGAACTTCAAACAACAGGAAACATGGCTGTATCTCCTCAAGTGTAATTACTTAATGCTGGTATTTGTCATCTGAGCCTTTGGATTCATCCATTGCTTTTATGAAAGCAGACGTACAAACAAAAATCAAGATGACCCACCCTGTTTCCACAACCTCCTCCACCACAATGATATTAATAAAACTATTCTCTAGTTGTCTAATTGAGAGACACCCATAACAGAAATATAAAACTGAAGAATGCTGAAGGGAGTAAGGAGGATGGGCTAAAGCAAAAAGATTATAGGGAAA